TGAACTCCCTGGATTTCACTTGCATCTCAAACCTACAGCAAATATTTTCAGAAGTTTTTATTATTCCTGATGTTTCTTTCAATAAAGATAATAAGGTGCAGAATTAATTAGCATCATTGGAGATGGATGTTCTTTGCCTGTTCCTTCTACAAAACAGAACAGAGGCAATGTGTGTTAGTGTTTGCTTTGCTGTCTGCTCCTTTTGCTGCAAAACAATCTTCTCTAGATGTGGAGACTGAACCGAGCTCTGAGGCTGCCTGCTGAGATCTCTAGCTTGGCAGGCACCCCAGTGCCAAACAAGGCTTCTGTTTTCACTATGTGGACATTTATCTACCTGGAAATGGGCAGGCACCCCAGACAAAAATCATTAGGCATAGGCTTCAAAGAGCTGTAAAATTATCAGGATTAAGGCTTTCTTCTGAGTCAATCACAGAGATGGTTTCTGGGCACCAGAGCTCTGCTGTTACACAGGGATCTGCATCCCAAGACCAGGGCTGAGCTCTCACCGGCAGCACCCCTTGCTTGGAAAAATCTGCTTAACTCTTGTAGCTGGTTTTATCTGGATACCTGTAGGAATGGCTGTGCCAGCTCTCCTGGGCATCTTTCATGAGCCAGAGTGTGTCTGGGAGCCTCTGGGACTGTGGAGAAAAGCACATATGTCTGAGCATTTAGCAGAATCTACATGGATTTTTATGTTTCGCCCATGACAATAAACAGCCCCTGCTTAAAGTATCGCCTGCGAGGTTTCACCACAGAAATATCAATGACTTAGCAGTTCTCCTCCTCACTCATCAGAAGGATAGTTAGGATCCATGCCAGCTTCACTGGGGACAAGCTAACACGATAAACTAATTTTTCATTAAGAATGGTCTGAAATTTTTAATGAATCTGCTTCATTCATGCTCACTCCAGTTTTGCCCTCTACGTGCAGGACAAGCAGGGTGAGCGGGCATGTCTACTCAGGGAAGCAGAACAACTATTGCAGGAGAATGAGGAGATGTTAAATTTAGATTCATAGCAAAAAGTACTTGAGGAGCTGGTCTGAGCTGAGAAACCCACAGGGAGATGGCCTCCCATTCCAAAACTGTTTCTGTTTTATGCAGTGACACCTTGCAAGAAACTGGGCACTCAAGGCGAACCACGAACCAGATTTATTCCAGTAACTTCAAACTATAAGTGCATTTGCAAAAAGAACAATCTGCCCATTAATAGCCTGAAAGAAAGAAGAAATTAATCAAATGAATGATTGAATATGAATTATTCTCCCAGTCCTTCAAATCTTTAAATGCAGTGCAAGTCCTTTCTAACCCGATCTCCTCATCAAATCTTCTCCCCTTTAAAAAGCTGTTGTATTATTTGCCTAAATTATTCATGTACTGATATAAACGTGTTGGTTATGGAGTGGTCTCATCTCCTTTTCTTTCTGCTGAAAATATTATTTAACTTAAATCTGGCAGTTATGTAATTTAATCCTTGCCTTCCATTATTAATGAATTTTAACATGAAATATGTAGGCATTTTTCCCTATTATGCCTTATGCAGCACTGGCCATAATTATGTCAGAAGAATTTTTTTCTCCTTTTTTGAAGAAGTATTTATTAGCAACTGTCCTCCATGGTGCTGACAGAAGAAGTTTAAAGGGAGGAGTAATTTCTGCCTCCTTATTTCTAGCCTTCTTGTAGGCCATTTTCAAAAACAGACCTTTCAGTGCCTTACAGCTTATTGACTTTAGTCCTATGTTGGTTTCTGGGGTGATGGATCTCTGCCCCTGCAAGCAATTCTGATAAAATCAAGAGTTATGATAGTGAAGGTGAGTTTGGCTAGACCCTTTCCTGAGTTTTCTCATGAATTTTCTTGCCTGGGAGATGGCTATAATTCCTGTTTGGTTTATCCAGAAATGAAGTGCTGGGAAATGATATGCCCATTTACAACGTGATTGCTGGCAATAGCACCTAGAGTTTCTCATTGCCAGCCCTGCCTCTTCTCATGAGACCATCCTTCTTTCCACAGCTGCCAGCTCTCAAAAGACGTGGAGCTGCCCTCACTGGTTGTCCCTTCCATCCCTGCATGCCTGGAGCCCCAGGGCTGTCACTGTCTTTTCTCATGCTTTCTGGTGTGATTATTCTCACTCCTGTTTGCACACACAGATGGAGCTCAATGGATCCCTAATAGCATCATTTACTTAATTAACATGCAATTAGCTTAATGAATATTTTACCCTCATTATGTAGTTACTCATCTTTATCTGTTGTGGGTAAGTCTAGTGCCCAGCTCTGACCTGTTATAAAGACAAGCCAAATTAGTCTGGTTCTTCAATTATGTTCAAGGGGCCTGTTTACACAGTTCTTTATCCCTCCTTTTATTTGTCACATCCATGATGGAAGGGTTGGGGTTTATGGAGGCAGAACATATCTTTTTCTTCTTCTTCCCCTGAAGAATTAGAAATTTCCTTAGGGTTGAGACAGAGGCAGGGGTTGGCAATATTACATTCTTGTGGGTGGGTGGTATATTCTGCTGACTTGGTCAGGATGAACCCTATTGCTCTACCCGTGGGACAGACTTTCTTGGCAGTGAAATCTTCCAGTTATGGGCCCTTCCCATTTTCAGCCTGCTATATAGTGTGGTGATTACTTTACAGTGTGTCAAATGTCTTTCTCCATCACCTTCTTCACACTCAGGATTTGAGCCGCAGCAGAAGCAATATCTATGCCTTGAAGGTATGGGATGGCTGTTCAATTAGTTCGAAAATGCAGATAGGGGCAGAGGAAAGCAAGTGTGCATAGGAGAAGAGAGTTTGCTTGAGTCAAGAGTGACCTCTTGAGCTGACTGCAAAGCAATTTGAAAGAGACTTGTTCAGTCTTACTAGACGGGCAGAGTGGTGACCTAATAGATCACGTCTTGGCTCTAAGTGGGACACCTGTGAGGGAACATTTCGCTCTCACCTTCCTCTGGGAAGAAAATTGAAAATATCCCTGTGTTGACTTGCTTACTGCTGGCATCTCAGTGGCACCCTTACCGACTGTCTTCTTGTTATGACCTGGGGAAGGCAGTCATGCCTCCTACCCCGCGCCTGGGGAAGCAGGCTGATAAGAGCCATTTGGTCTCAGTGAGAATCCACACAGAAATGGAGAAATGGAGTTCAAAGATTTTAACAAAAAGAAAATATCTCCGGTAAAATACCATTAGAAAGTAAGAAAGCAGTGAGCATCATTTCCTTCAGGCTACGCTTTTTGTTGTTTTGAGCCAGCAAGGTTAACCAGAGAAATAGAGCAGAAAGTTGAGATTATCAGGAACGGCTACAGTTGGGCTTTCAAAGCCTTCCCACATACTTCAAAGGAAAACAACAAACTTCATTTACACAATGCATACTCCTGCTTTCTTAACCTGGAATTGGCTGTGCAGAGGAGAGGGAAGTGAAATACTAAGGGGGGTGTTAGCAAAGGGTAAGTGCAGAAATCATGAGAGAAGTCTTCCTTAATGACAGGAAAACTATGCCCCCTCCTCTGCAAAGCCAAGGGTCCTATCCGGCAGGGCTGCCACATGTCTTGCTTGATCCTGCATTTTTCTGACAGGGTCTACCTCCCTGCCAGGCCAGGCCCAGAGCTCTCCTAGTCAGGCTATTTCCAGTTCTAACTTAGCATGCAGTGCTCAAATTCTGTTGAGGTATCACCCGGCTCCTGTCCTTACGGAGGAGCAGCCACGTTCGATGAGGTAACGAGCTGAGAAGATTTGTGGGTGTGCATATTGCAGCAAAGTCAGCCCATGCAGTCCATGTAAAGAGCACCAAGTCTCCATTATTTGTCTTAATCTGGCACTCTTACAGAAACAGCTGTTATGGGGCCTGAATACTTTATTGACAGGACAAACACAGCTAAAACAGCCATCCATCCCAAAGTCAAGTGGACAGGCTCATAGTGCTCAGTGCTGTGACTGCTGAAGCCTAAGGATCAGGATTAACATCCATTTGTCCTCATCCTTTGGCTTGACTGAAGTAGGCTTGTGGTGCAGGGTAGGTTGGTAGATCAGTTGCTGTTTCATCCTGTAGCTACTGTGAATAGCTCCCTGTGCTCCTCCAGCACTAGGGAGGGCCCTGTGCCCCCACTCAATATGAAGTAATAGAATCTTTCCAGAGGTAGGAAAGGTAACTGCTAAAATCCATGTGTAGCAGAACTTGAAGGCCATAATCTCTGATTATCATTGATTTCTACACAGGGCTTCCCAAAAAGTTTATGCTAATATGGTGTAACTGAGCCAAAATGCCAGCCAGAGTAAACAGTCAAGCCATTGACTCCAGCAGACTTGAGCCACTTTAGCCCCAGACAAATCTTTTTGCCTTGTGACACAAGGCAAGACACGCTACTACAGTCAGGAAAAGGACTCACATGTTACTGCTGCTGGACACACAGGGCTAGCTATATCCTGCTGGCAATATCTGTGCGTGTGACAGAGGAAGCAAAAGCCTACTCTCCTCTGGATCAAGAGGGTGAAGGCTTTCATTTTGGGTGTGAACATACCACTGTGTAAACTTCTTCATTGTCTCTGTCTGTGTTGTCAGAGCCAGCTAGGTACTGGACCCCTTTGTAGGTGTAGCACAAATGAGAATCTGACCCAACATACTAGCTGCTACTTTTTAAAGCATTTTGGGTTGTCTTCATAGAAAGTTCAGAGGGAATCCACATTCGTAGCCTCACTTTGCATCAGCTGGCAGGCTCAGAGAGGCCAAGGCCACACTGTTGACCCTGGCTGGGGAATAATCATAGAATCAGCTAAGCTGGAAAAGACCTTTAAGATCACCAAGTAATGGCAGAGCACGGTGTGGGTAGCTGTTCTTCTCCTATCACCTTGTTAGAGAGATCACTTTATTCACCAGGGCTGTCAACTGAACACCTTTCATCATCAAGAACTCTGTTTAGAATAAAACAACAGACCCAAAGTTGATAATCAGATGCAAATTATGTACCAGTATGCAGAAGACAAAGATAAGATTTGCATAAAATGTGTGCATGACAGTGGCTAAGTTTCCCTTATTTTTTCCCGTAAGTATCAAAGCACAGAAAGCAATAATTCTGCACCAGCTCACCTCTTCGACCACAGCCCTCAGCCTCCAGTCCTGTATTTGAGGGCAGAGCAGTTCACCCTAGGTGCCCCTTCCCCTCCCACATGCCGGGGGAGCAGCACGCTGTGTTCAGGCTCAGGTCAGGCGTTTTGGCACAGACAGCAGTGTTTGTTTCTTTTCTCAGGAATCTCTTTTCCAGGAGGGGAAGCCATTAGCTAAGAAGGTGAAATGGATTTGCTGCTGCTCTGCTGTATTAACAGAGCTTGTTCAACAACCGCTCTCTGTAGAGCTTAAAATAGTCTTTTGAGGGTAGGAAACCGCGCACCAGCTTCAAACCAACAGATAAGTCTTGTGAAAAAAGAGCAACCCAGGGTGCTGCTGCTGACACAGTTTCTCTTTTCCAAACAGCCAGGAGTTTCTTGTGTGGTGGGGTACACTGGATATGTGCTTTGGCCAGTCTCGAGCTCAAAACTGTCCTTCTGCTTCCACTGTCTGTTGGGGTTGAGCCAGTGTTGGTCAGGGGCAGTGGTGTCTCTCAGAGCAAATGGGGGTTATTCAGCAGTGCCAATGGGTAACCTATAGGTTCAAGTGGGTTTGCCAAAGCCAGCAGGTCTTCCTAAGGAATGCAAATGAGGTGGCTCCAATGTGTGTCCCCAATAGCTGCTGCTCCTCAGCCTCCGTGGTGCAACACTCAAGAGACTGCTAATGACATTCTTGCTTGGAGACTGTAGGGATCCCTCCTGTATGATGCCACCCAGCCACGCTGGGCTCACTGGGGCTGGCCGCAGCTCAGGCACTGGGAAAGATGCAGTGAGAGGCAAAAGGCTGCTCATAGGATGTAGGGGCTGCACGACTCATTTCAAACCCTGAAGTATTGTGACACAAATGAAAGGGAAGAACTGGGGTTCTCCAGAGATGCCGGTACAACATGCATGAGTCTGACTCATCTGTGGCTGCCCAGAGGCCCTTCTGTCAGACAGAAAAGAGCTGAGCTGTGGCAGTTGCAGCAGCAGCTACAACAGCAGTGCCCTGTTCTCCTCACTGCCATCTGCTTCCCCCAGCCAACCCCCCCCCCCCCAACAGTTAAAAACATGCCCTGATTTTTGTTTTCCATGCAGCATCTTATTTCTGATAGTTCTGAACCAATCTCAGCCACAGTTTACCAAGAAAATTGCAGAGGTGTCCACCTTTCTCCAACTCCAGCTCCATGTATTAGCAATTTTCTTCCAAGAGGCATTGGTATGTGTGGATGTGGCCTCTCTTTCTATGCCCCCCTGCCTTGTGCCTCCCCCTTCTTTTTCTCTCTCTCTCCTTCTCCCAATGGATGTTGTATATATGTGAACCAGGGCAAGAAACAAGAAAGCTGATGCTCAGAACAGATTAGTTTGCATTACACAGCCGACAGGCTTTCTTAGAGAAGGCTAGGTACTGGGAATTCGGCATTTCCCCTTCGTCGGTGATTGATTGTCTCTGTGTCTTGGGGGATTGGAATTCTGTATTTTGAGTAACTCTTGGTAAGTCCAAAAGTAACAAAAATGTACCTGTGACATGAACTCAGGCCTAAGAAAACTTATCCTTTCCTCCCTTGGCTTCATAAATGTGATGTTTTCATCTGCATTGCTGGCTGCTTTAAGACATACAGGGATTGTGGCCTTTGTCATCCCAAAACACTTGATAAAGTACTTTAAGAGAGGTAAATACAGTGCTTAACCAGGCTGGACAGGTGAACACAGAGTAACTTCTGAACTCATGTGCCCAGCACTACAACCCCCTCTTCCAACAACTCTGCTGATAATGTTTTTCTGTTCTTTGTGCCATACAAAATATTTTTAGATTGGTATTAACCTCACTGTGCTTATGGGGGTGGATGTGTGTGTGTGTGTATTATTACCCTTAGAATTAACAATTGCAGAATGTACCTGCTTGATTCACTTTATAAACGGCAGAAATTACTGAGTATCAACGAGCTCCATGCCAAACACAGGATAGGCCGTGTACCTATGAGGAATGAAGAATCACAACTAGGATGAATATGTAATCTTGCATTCATACCATTGCTTTTAAAACATAATAATAAGGTTACAATCTATTTCTGTTTTAAAGGCCCATTTTGGTCCCTCTACAAATTTGTCTTGTGAAGTGTGTTTGCCTTGAAAAAGACCAGACTGACTCTGAAAGCAAGGAAAAGCATTTGTGAAACAGCTGAAGAAGAGCTCATCAAATTATGTTGACGCAGTAGTTTATTAAAGATTTAACCCCTTTGACATTTTTCTGTTTGTTTACTGTTCGTTCACATCCCTGTAGCTCACAAATATACTGTTTATTGTCCTTCAGATTTTCCATTTCATTAATTTTGGCTGAAGGCTCCAGCAACAGCTGTATTTGAAGAAACTAGATTATAATTGAGAGGAATTATTAATGATTTCGCTGATGCCCTCTACCTTTCTTATTGATTTCAGTGGAAAACATCACCTTGACGGTATTCCCATGGAGCTGAAACGGGAAGGGGCATATATGTGAATGTCACCACCCTCTGAAGTTTAGCTGTGTGTGCTAACGGCACATGAGAAGTCTGCTCCTGCTTGGGGTGAGTAAGACACCTCCATTCCCAACACCCCCCTCTCCAGCCTGGTACAGTGAAATTGCATCATATGTACTGGGTACAGTTTATAGGGCAGAAGAATTTGTTTTATACAAGGTAACTCAATTATCTGCATCCTTTCATTTAAGTGGGAGGCTGTGTTTGCAGCTGTAAGATAATGATTCCAGGCTCGGCTTTGCAGATACAAGTTTTTCTACCTTATTACAGACAGGGCTGTTTTCACGCACAGGCAAAGGTGGGAGCCTGTGGGGCTGGGAAGAGATGGGGATGGTGTAGCTGCAGTAGGCACCAGCTGACTGTCCAACCTTTCCCCCTACAAGCTGTGAGGTATCAATGGGGTAGAAAAGGAGAAACACATCCCAGGAGGGCCTCACTCTGCTGCAGCCACACAGTTGAATTTTACCTGCCCAAGGGTGAAGAGAAAATCCTTGGGCTGCAAAATTAAATTTTACCTACCCTGCTGATAAGCCTTGAGCCAACTCTTATTATAGAGGTATCTTCACCTCCTTCTATTTTAACTACAAAAAGAGGCTTATTGAAAGGTTGATTTTGATCCCTGTTAAGAGAAAAATAAAGAAGGAGAAAGACAATAAAATTCCTCTTGCTTCAAGGTTTTAGATGTAAGTCTTACTGACAATACAATATTTTCTGAAAGTGTTAAGTTACTAGAGGAAGAATATTTTGAATGTAAAATCATTTGCATTACCTCCATTTCAAGACATTTGCTGCATCTGCCACTTTTTTTTGTGAGCCTCTCTGAGTCCAACAGACACATTATCCTGCAAAGTCTTAAATAAAGGTAGGTTAGACACTGCTTCTCCAAGAGGCAATTTACTAAATCAGGGATGATAAATGTAGAGCTGCGGTTTGAAAATGAAATGTGATTCCACCAAGACAAGCAAGGAAAAAAAAAAAGTGGGAATATGAGAAATCTCTATTGGTAATGTTTTGATTGGCCGATGCTCATTTGGCAGAGACAGCACATCTCTTGGTTCCTGCAAAATATTCTTTCTTATCCATCTTCCACCAAAATGTCTGCTGTTTTCAGGGGCTCAGAGGTACTTTTTCCAGACATGGTGAAGGAAGAAGAGTACTTAACACAACACACCTCACACAGGTGATGCATCTCCTGCACCCAAACAAGATGTTTGGAGCAGGGATGAGCTCACCCCCTGCCAGCTGAGGTGGTTAAACTCCATGTTATGCCCAAGGCCAGCTATGCCCAGGGCAGCTCCTTAGGCAGAGGGAGGCATATTTTGCCCTCTTCTTTACCTTTTGATCAGCTCCTCCAACCCCTCCAGCTCCCTTAAGGGAATTCTAGCGGGGTGCAAAGCATGTGAGGGGTTGCCAAAAGCTGGGATGGATAAAAGTAAGAGATGGATGGGCAGAAAGAAGGGGCAGAGCTGCCAGATACTGGGGACCCTGCCCAGGCTCCCCTCCCAAACCTGCCCCCACCCTGCCCATGGCCCAGAACCACATTCCAGCACAGCCTGGGACTATTAGCCCCTGCCCCAGTGATGCTGCAGCAGTGCTACCTTACATGCTGACTTACTCCAAGTTTTGGTTGTTCACTTGCCCCCACACCATCGTTCCAGCATTCCTGGCTTCTCTTTCCATGCTTCAAGACGACCCAGAGTCTCTCTTTCACACCCTCTACTGGCCATTTTCCACCCGATCCTTTCTCTGCCCACCGCAGTAATTCCTGAGTCAGTCCTGCCCTGGCTTCCCACCGGCTTCTCCCTGTCTCTTGGATGTTGCTGGTTGCCCCAGTCCCTCCTGAAGCTGGGTGGAGACATGACTCCCGTCTTCCTCAGTCCTGATGCCAGAGACCAGGAAAAATCAGAGGGGGGAAAACAGACGCATTTATTCTTCAGTGCCAGTGTCACATGCCATGAAACCTTCCAGCAAGTCAGATATTATAGTTTACCTGCAAATCTGAAGGCTACTGAACAGCTATAAATCCAATCCCAAATGTGTATTGTTCCTTCAGAATACTGGTTTGTGCATCCTGATGGAATATGGCGCTGCTCTGCGTGAAATACAAATGAATGGTTTATTATTGGCTTCTCAGAAATCAAGGTTGAAGGTTGTTCCTTACAATGTGCTCTGATTAGAACAGGGGGTCGGACCAGCAGTATTTCTTTCTGTCTCTGTTATCTAGGAATGATTCGGTCTGTATAAAAATTATACTATTTTCACTAATTTTCCTGCTTGACTTTGCTAATAAGGAAGTCTGCTCTGCTGTTATTCAAAAAACTCATCTGGTTTTCCTGGGGAAGTTTGAATGCAGGGGCTGATTTGGCAAGAAGAATCACTTCAGCCTTCATGAAAACGTGGCCACCTGGGAAGCTGCATGGAGAAACTTCTCCGGAAACCCATTACGTTTTCAAGCTTTAAAAAGTGCCACCTCTACAGCAAGTAAGCCAAGACTTACCTTGACTACAGTGGCGCTGTAATTTGGTTTACGTCAGGTTGACACCCTGTGTTATATTCCTTCGCCTCTATGAGGTACTGAGCAGTGGTGTGTGGTAGAGCTGGTTGCTCCCAATATCTTCATGGCTCAGTGTGAGGTCACCCACCAGGCACATGTGCCCAGCCCGTCACTCTGGAAGCAGCAATAGCCATGGCCATCAGAGTCCCTGTCTCTAGTATCAGGCTAGCATGATCAGCTCTTTTTCTTCTGCATACTAGATGTAACTGAGAAATCAATCAAACCTCTGCCAGGCTAAAAAGGGTGGAGGAGGTGGAGATTCCCAGCAGGTTGTATGATCTGTTGTTTTTCCTCTGGTCTGAAAGACAGGGAGAGGAGAAATGCCTTTGCTCTACATTCCCGCTAACTTTCTTGGCATGATGAGGTAGCCAGCTAATAAGCGAGTAATTATACATTGAAATATACAGTTCAGTGACAGTGCTGTCTGTCTGCAGCAGCTCTGGGAAATGAGGGAAGAAAGTACTGTTCCAGCTCTGCTCATGTCCCTGCCTCGCTGTCTGACTTTCTGTGTGAGTCACACCTTGACTTTGTGTTTCAGCCCCATCTCCTCACCCAAGGATTCTCAATTTTGATCAGAGGTGCAATTCACGACTGAGACAGCTGTGCCAGCAAAACCCATCTGTGAGTGCACATTTGTTTGTTGCTTTGCTTGGGAGCAGTGGTAACCCTGGCAAGAGCAGCTCTGATGGTGAACTGTGCCTCTCCGCCAGCAGTACTTCAGTGCTGCACAGCACCTGCACACCTCGATCGTGTCCCTAGGCAGCCCCATCCCCAGCTTTTCTAAAATGATTAGAGCAGCTCAACCAAAAAACACGCTTGTAAATGCGGTTTGTGTTTCTATAATTTCCTCCCAGTAGGGCTTTTCTGTTAATTCCTTGTACGTGCCATCTCATATTACTTAGTTTTACAATAATGGCCCTTCTAACGCTGGTCTGCTAGAGTTATAAATAGTCACGGTAAGTTTGAACAGAGTATTTCACCATGGGTTTTCTAAAATAGATCAAGGGAAAGACAAGGATGCCACTGTGTCTTGAGGATGTGAGTATATTTAAGCACAGAGGAAACAAGGAAATTTGTTTTGGACCCATCCTAAAGTTAAGGAGGGAGCAGTAACCCTTGTGGGCAGCAGTGTTTTAGAGCATCCATTCAGCAGGCACAATTCCAGATGTTTTCTCTTCTTTACACATCTAGATTTGTGTGAAGAACTGCTCAGATGCTTTCACTTGAACAGATGGTTTGTTAAAAATGTAGCTGTAGTGTCACTGGACAGGAGGGGAGAGGATCTGTGTGTGTGTGTGTGTTTACACAGAGGTTCACACAAAGACAAAAATCACTGGATTCTTGAGCTGAGTGTTCCGGCAGTGGCCAAAAACACCTGCAAATGAAGAGGCAAAAGTAACTTGTAGGGGTAGCTCATAGACTATATGTAACATCCAACAAGGAAACTACTTTTGCGCAAGTTAATTGTACAGGCTTCATTCTCAAACTCACTTGAGAAGCCAAGCCTTGTGGGCTAGTTTTGCTAGCTATACTTGGGTCATGAGAAGACAGTGGCTTTTGGATTAAGCTAGGGAGGCCAACTGTCCTTGGTTTTTTTACATTCCACATTTCTCTTCACACTTGGAATTCGAACATCTAAGTTTCCTCACAGTCATGCAAGGTCAAAACACTGAGATGAAATAGTGTATATGCAAGTAGTGCCGGGGAACATAAATGAGGGCTGAGAGACCCAGGCTCCTAGCAGATGAACTGAGAGAGTTCTTCCTTGTGGAGGTAAGACCTGCAGCACTCTATCCCTTCAGACCTGACCAGCTTACAGGCTCAAAGCAGGGAAGTTCAGTGGCACTAGAGCATCCATTTCCCAGTGAGCAGCAGCTCCTTGTCTTCTCTCCTTAAGCCTGGAAACCCTCCGAATGCCCAAGCTGTTTGGACAGTGGCAGTGCACATAGGCCCCTGATAGCTTTGGATTTCTAAGTTTTTCATTGTCATGTTACAGCAAGAGGCTGGTAGAGAGCTGCATGACTGATGTACAGTGTTGTATGGTTCCCTAGAGAGTGGTGGGGCTGCTGCAGGCATTGAATTGCGTGCTCTTCTGCAGCCTGCCTAGCACACTGACGAATCTTTCTGTAAACGTCTCTTCCAGCTCTTGTGGTCAGGATCAGTAGCAAGGGGAGAGTATGGCAAAAAAAAACCCAGTTTTCTCTGCAGACTCCTTTTTAAATCCAAAACACAGATGTTCACCTTTCTGAAGTGAGGGTGGCTCCATCTGGAGACAACAGGGACTGAGGATTTTCTTGTGTGTAATTTTAAGTCAATGTGTTGGTAATAAGTCATCTTCCCAAAACCAGGTGTGGGCACTGGGCAACTGAAATGAGGAGGTACCAGCTGGAGGTTTTCTCACCAACAAGAGGTCTTGAGGCACACGAGCCCACAGCCTTCCCTGAGCGCTCCCACAAAAGTGGCTCTGCAGGGCTGCTTCCTCCTCATGTCAGGCTAGGTGAGATGTGCTTTGTGTGGATAACTCCACCAAGGTCTAAACAGCAAGGCCCCACCTACATTTGTCCTATGTAGATTTTACTTTCGACTCATGTCAATCAATCATTCCCATGCTGTGAGCTGTGTTTAAAACCTCTCAAGGGAAATACAAGTAGCACAGCCTCCTGGGAGTACTGGCAACTACTTCAAACACAACCCTCTGGCTAAAGGTATCTGCTTCAAGAGTAGCACCTTTACCCTCCCCAGCACCACCTCCACCACAGGGCAGAGATCACACATTTCAGATCATCTGCCTGGCACTGACAAAACTGCAGTCGATGCACCCTTTCTGGCAGTGGCAAAGAGCAAGAACAGGGAAGGATTGTGCCCAAACCCTTTGTACCTGATCTCTGTGAAAAATCACCCCTCTTCAGCGCGCTCTGGGAGACGTGCTCAGAGAGGGGGACTACAGCAATGAAAGGAAGTGGAAGAAAGGGAGAACAAGTTCCTTTGACCAGCACCAGCTTGTCATTTTTTTAACTCTCTTTTTACACATGAAAGGGAGGGTAGGAAAGCAGAAGAAAGCATGAATGCAGGAGGAGAAGGAGGTAGAGAGGAAAAAAAGATCAAAGAAAGGGTGAAACAGGAAAAAGATGCTCCCAGTGATGCTGAGACATTTGTCTGTGCCCCTATACCAGCCCCAATCTGTCCTAAAGCAAAATAACAGCAAGATCTCTGGCAAACTAGATATATAAGCTAAAAAGCATAGGGATTAGTAGAAAACGTTGAGTTAGAAGCCTGTAGACTTAGTGCACAAGAGGTGGGATGTTGTGTGTGTATGTATGAACACTCGAGCTGAGGAAAGACGAGTGGCCACATGTTGAGATCACAGGGGTGAGGGATTGCAATGGTTTTCCCATAAGCCTTAACTAGTAAACAGATGTTTTTCAAAGTATAATTGGGTAAAGGCAGGAATAGCAAAACCCCATACCATAGCAACCATCTGCCAGAAACCCCAGCATGGCACTGAAACTGGCTGGGAAGTGCAGGGAGGAAGGATGGTAAAATTGAGACAGGATGAGTACCTTGGGTGAAAAACAGAGATGGACTCCTTCATCATTCCCTTCAGTATCAAACACTCTCTGTGATGAGGAGAGCTAATAAAAAAAAGCAGAGAATACACAAGAGGCTCACAGGTACTACTAGTGTTGTAAAATGCATCTGGGAAGAAATCAAGCACAGCATAGGTGTATTCCCTAGAGTGGAGATGAGGAGAACTGAGGACAACAAAGCAGAGCCTTTGGGATTTATAGCCCTATCTTGGCATGCTTCATACTGCAAGCAGGAGATACCCAGGAGGATTTGGGGCAGTAGTAGCACTGGTCTAGTATTAGGGATGGTGGGAAGCACTACTCTAGGCTAGAAGGACTTTTTTTCCCCGAAGAGATACTGATTCCAGCACTTTATAATGACAGTTTAACTGCATCCTGTCACTGTAGCTTCACCCATTCTTTCCTATCTCGTTTATAGTAGTGAGACAGGGCTCCCCCTCCCCACACTCCCTGCTCTCCCTTGCCTTTCCCAGTTCCCTCTCTGGCTCTCTTGCTGCCCTACCTCACTGCTAAGGCCGCACACATGCCCCTATGCTGTGCTGTTGCAGAACCTGTCCCAGCTCAGCCCTGTCTCAACAGCATCGCAGGAGGCACCCTGCGTGCTCAGCTCCTCAATACAGACCTGCAGCTAGAGTTTCCTTGTTTTCCTATCTCCCTGCTAACATCCCTGCTGCAGCGCTAGAGAGTCCTCTGGCTTTCCCCTTCTGAACTCTTACCTCTCTTGCAGCATTTGGAGTCACCCTTGCTTGCCCACTGCTTCTAAGGTTCCCCGTTGTGTTCCTTTTCCCTCCTCACTTTCTATTTCTACTAAGCTATAGGAAGGGAAATGCTGCTGCAAAGCTTCCACTTCCGTAAGTCTGTGTAGGCAGGGAAGAGAGGAAGAGATCGAAGTTCAGGGATCCCAGAGACATTCTTGGATGTGGTGCTGAGAAGAAAATGAACAGGAATGAGGTGACAGAAATGTTAGGCCACAAGCTCAAGAGAGCACTGGGGCCCAGAGATAGCTGCATCATCCCAGGAAAGAAATAAATGACAGACTACACCAAACTATAGCATGAAAATATCTACACAGAGAGAATTAATGTTCTTGCAACTGGACCTTGGCCTCCCACAGCTCTTCAATCGTCTCTTGCCTGGTGACATTGTGCTATATATGATTTGCTGTCTTTGAACAGCACATCCGTCCCAGCAACTGTCTACCTCTTAACATAGCTGTGAAATATAGGTGATGTAGTATGTATAAATATTTCAAAGAGACAGGACTCAGTGGATAAGCGGGGTCTTGAGAAGCAACAAGAGACACTGATTCCCATCCAGAAAGATGGGACAAATATGTTCTGTGGAAACAGACTAGGGGACGAAAAACATGCTTCATCTTTGCTTTTTGGCAAGTGGAATCGCTACAGAGTATGGTTTCCTTATGACAAGTATCTACTTGCTTAGCAAGGGTGCATAGTGCTGGCTTGCTGTCACCCATTGGAAACACCACAGTTACGAATGTTAGGATTTATTAGGCCTCAACCAATAATTAATTACCTTATTTAGCAAATGCAGTTACGTACTTGTGTTTTGGCAGTATTTTTTTCCACTCAGAGCATACTTTGACAGTTTACTTTGAAATTCATTTTTCATAAGCATTTGTGCCAGTGAAACATGTGAGCCTGTGCATTGAATGTTAACACAAAAAGGGGTGTAAAGGGCATACTTTGGGGATTTTTTTTTAGACTCGTTATTCAGATATGTAACACATAAGCCATTCAAACTTTGAGGCACTATTCCACAATCGAATGAGAATACCTGGGGGAAAAAAAAAAAAAAAGACAAGGCTTACAAAATGCCCCATAAATATCCTTATTTCAAAATTATGAGTAGAAAAGACAGGATTCATATCTCCATGCTTTTTCTTTTTTATCACTGTGAAGTTTCCTGGATCTGCAAACATCTCTTCACCTCATTTCCTTGTGTTGCTTTCAGCTTGCTCCATGCAGATGTGAACAATTATAATTTTTCTCATCAGCAGCAGCAGCTTCTGCTTCTCCACATGCCCTAGTAATGAGGCTGCCTCCTTGTCCTCCCAGTGCTGGCCACCTCCTTCTACCTCTACACCCTTTATTAATGTTGCCACCACCACTGTAGGAAGGATTAAATCTTTCTCAGGTGAAGATTTGTTGTATTAAAAACAAACTTGCTCACATCAGGTGCTTTCATAAAGTGCCCTGCTACATGCTATCATCTTGGGAAAGGACACCTCAGAGTACCACAGTTTCTTGGCAAATGTTCTTTTAGCTTGGGGGGGGGGGGAATAAAATATAAATGGAATAAAACCCAAACAATCTAACAAAGCAGTTCTATACTGGCGACATCCTGAGAAGTGAGGAAATAGGGTCCAGTGTGAGACCTGCCCTGCCTGCCTTGCCTCCCACATAAGGGGATGCTGGTCACTGGGGGAAGCTGCTCTGTCCGTAAAGCCGTTCTCCTCCTGGTGCATGCTATTGTTTTCCTCTCCCGCTGAGCACCGCTTACAGTAGGAATAACAGCTTACTAATTAGCGGCTATATCTATTAATTGTTTGGGTTTTAGAACATGACTCAGCAACCAGCCGCTCCCTGGCTGGTTGCTTTCAATATTATAGATTATTACATCTTTCAATATTTTACATTTTTCAATATTATTATTATTAAGTTTTTAATTACATTTTTATCCAGGGAGTGACTTGTTCACATGGCGACCCAGTGCCTCTTCCCGTCCGCTTTCCCTCCTGGTAGAGCTCCCGCTGGCAGCCCCAGTGGCGAGCGGCTATCCTTGCAGAGTCGCGGGGCACCGCGCAACAGAGCAGCACCGTGAGCGGCGTGGGACCGCCGAGCCCACGCGTGGCTGAAGGGCATTTTACCTGTCCCCCAGCAAAGCAGATGGAGGTAAGGATGTGGCGAAGCAGGGCTCCGCATCGGCGCTCCGGGTGCCGGTGGTGATGACCGGGATGACCGGGACGGTTGGGCAGCATCTCCTTCCGCAGACCTCCTCCCGGCCGGAGGTCTCCCCCAGGGCCCTGCGCGGCAGGGGGGGGAGCACAGCTCCCCCGCTCCGGGTTTTATGGACGAGCATTAGCACAGCCCCACAGGTACCGCCGATTCCCGCAGCCATGCACCGGGCTGGGGTCCCGCATAGCACCCCCGCCGTACTTAGCCCCCCTGTCCGCCGCTCCCGAGCAGCATTCACAAGGCAGCTCCACCAACCTGCAACCTACTGGGGGAGAGGACAAAAAACTTTGCTGGTACCAGCCATCGCCGGCACAGGAGATACCCCCCACTCCCTCCGGCAATCTGCCCTCTTTCCCCCCCCCTCCCCGACTCGCTGCCGGTAGAAGCGCCAAGAGGTGCCCCAGTCCCCGCCGCCCCTGGGCTTTCCGTATCTCAAGTCCCACCCGGGAGAAGCCGACCTTGCCGCGAGTGTCCTGAGGATGGAGGGACCCCGGACTGAGGGCTGATCTCTCCGCCGGAAGCAAGTCCCTTTTTCTCCCCAGCCCTGCGGTGCCTGTCTCTAACTGGGCCGGGGAGAGGGAAGGCTCGCAGAACTGGTCAGGAGGCAGGGCTTTGCAGAGCACGCCTGCTTTAATTGGCTCCCTTTTATTTTTTTAAACTGAAGAGGAATGAAATGGTGAAGAGGGGAGGAGAAAACCTGGAAAGCCAGAGGGGAGAAAATCACGGTGCGGCCGGCAGAGCGACAGGCAGGGAGGGTGAGGCTGCCCCGGGCAAGCCTGGCCGGTGGGGCCATAGGGGAGCCGTGCAGTGTCTCCCGGCCCCTCCGTCGGGGACCGGCGGAACAGAGCGCCCTGGGGCTGGTCGGGGAGCGGTGACGCTCCCGGCAACTTTCGCAGGAGATTTTGGCGCTTCGGGAAGAAGCGGCGGGGCAGGGACCTGCCAAGCGGTTTCCAGCCGGCGTCTGGCAGGAGTAACCTAACTTTCTGCAGCTTCTTGGCCCTCCTCGGAGACTCCTCCCAGCTGCAGCCTCTGTCAGTTCCCACCGGGAGCTTCGGCAGCCGCGTCGAGGGAGTGCGACGCGGACCCCTCCAGAGCCGCAAATCATCTGCGAGGCGGGAGAAGCAGGCAAGCAGCGGAGGCAAAGCACCCACCCGAGGCCGGCACGCCGCATAAGAGAAAGTTTTGAAGGGAGAAGGACCTGTCAGGCTGGGGTGGAGGCGAAGAAAGCCTGGCTGAGCAGCAGGCGGGGCGAGGGTGCCTGCTCTGGCTGCTCCCCTCTTGCTTCTCCCTTCAGGCTGGCTAGGGCGATGCAGTGCAGCTGGGGAAGCTCTTGGGAGCCGCTCTAAAAGAAAAAAAAAAATCCTTCCTGGATTTGATTAATTACAACAATCCCCTCCCCAGAAGATCAGGAAAATAGGAGAGAGCATCACCTACCTCTCCCTCCGCCTTTCAGCAACTGGCTCCTACCCCCACCCTTCCGTCCCCCCCTTTTTCTCCACCTCCCTCTCCCCGTTTGCTCCTGGGGCTGCGGCCAGAGCCTTGGAGGAGGAGGAAGGGTAAAGACTCTCCCAAGTTGGCCCCAGTTGGCAGCACTTCGGGCAGCGCTCGGCAGATCCCACCGAACAAAGACCCCCCTTTTCCCGCAGGGGCCGGAGGCAACAGGGCCCCGCTCCTGCCCGGTGCCCTGGGCTGGCTTCTCCGAGCCCCCTGCGGGCGGGCGCGGCTGCCCGTTTTCCTGGAGACCCTCGAGAACCTGGCGAGGGGAAGCGGGAAGCAGCGCCCCGCTTTCTTGCCCTCCTCTCTGCCTCGTTCCCTCCCTCCTTTTTTTTTTTTTTTTATTTTCCTTCCTTTTTTCTGTTTTTTTTTTTTTTTTTTTTTTTTTTTAATTCCATCCTCAGGCGGCCCCGGTGGGGGAGTTCGGGGGTTCCTCCCCGTCCCTCCCTCTGGCCGAGGGGCGCCGCTGCCCGGCGCGAAGCCGGGTGCATGGGGCGGCGTTCCGGGAGGCTTTCGTCTGCTTCTCGCTCCCCCGCCGGATGCTGCCTGGGCTGTTTTGGCTGCTTTTCTTCGCCGGCGATGAAGGCTCTGCCTTGAAGATGGAGATGATCTGGGTTTTATTCCTGTCTCTGGTGCCGGTGTACAGCAGGGGACAAGGGGTTTACGGTAAGAGACGTTGTCGCGGTCGCTGTTTGGGGACGTGAGGGCGCAGACAACGGCGGTGGGATCAAAGTTAAAAAGCACCTGCAGGAGAAAGTAAATGATGCCGGCGAAGCTCGTCGCAGCCCGAACGGAGAGATTTATGCAGCAATAAGGCTTCCAGCGCCTGTAGCCACTTCATAATTTCTCTCTGTAACCCCTGGCACCGCCGGTGTAGGAGCCCGCCGAGGTGTCGCGCCGGGAGCCGGGCATGAGAGAGCTGCCGCGGGCTGGAACGACCCCCGGGCCCGGCTGATGCTCCCTTGGGGACGCCTCGCTGATGCCGTGAGAAACGCGGCGGCGCGGCGCTGGGAGCACTCCGAGTTGCAGTTTCTTTGGGGTAGGGGGGGCCTGAGTGTCCCCTCTCAGCGCAGCCCTTGTGGGCTTTCTTCCTTGCCAGAGCACCGCACGGGGAAGCGCAGCGAAGGGCGGCAGCCGCTGCCTCGCCGGGGCTTGGTGCCTGGGGTTCCCCTAGCTGCCGGGCAGCCCGCTCGCCGAGTTGCCCGGGTTTGCCCGCCTCGGCGGGGCTGGCTGGGCTCCGTCCGCCTCATTGGCGACCTCCGCTGAGCTCCCTTCCCTCCCGGGGTGCGAGGGCTGAGGCTGCTTTTGCACCCTGTTGAACTTTGCTAGCGATTTTCTTCTTCAGATTGTGAGCGTGTGTGGGGGTGCTGGTCTGTGCCAGAGCTGATGTCGAGCTGCTTGGCTTTTTTCTGTTATCATCATTATCACCGTTATTATTACTGCAATGGTGTTTATTTCCTCTCCTTGCTTGCAGGCAGGGTGGCAAATAGCAACCTCGAAGGTCGTCCCCCCTGCCCCCGCCATGAGAGGTTTGCTCCCGCAGCCCCTCAGGGGCAGCAGAGGCTGGAGACGGCACCCTGTCCCCCGCTGAGCACAAGCCCTGAGTGGAGAGAACAGCCGGGATTCACTTTAGCCAGCAGCACAGCCCCCCCTTCCCTCTGCCAGCCCTCTCTTGATTCTTGCTTTACAAGATCTGCATTTCCAATATACTGGGAAAAAATAAATAAAAGCAACCCACAAGACTTGCCTCTTATAACAAGCCGGCTTTATCTTGGCTTACAACTCAGTTGTGCGTTGCTGTAAAGTCCTTCTGGAAGGCATGCCTCTGCCTCTAACGAGCCAAGCTCTCTGAGCTTTAAAGAGAGACCCCAGTGAGAGAATCCATCCCCCCCGCTCCCCCTTTTCTAACAGCACGCAGCCAGTCTCTTGTGTGAGCTCTGGCAGAGATCAGTCCAGTCTCACTATGGGTAAGTCTTTGTAGGTCACTTTTTAATGATGTATTTCTTTAATGGAAACAATTCCTCCTTTCTCCTTGAGGACTGGGATGTTAGTTTGATTTTGGGTCCGTTTTGTAAAATAACCATTTTAAATAGAGGGTGTTTGGCTTCTTGTTTTATTGTTTCTTCCTCCCACTATATGGATTTTCTCTCAGTCTGCATGTCCAGAGGAAAATTTTAGGACCCTCTGAAGGCTGGAAAGATGAGAAGTAGAATGAGTTTGTGGTAAAGAAGCCTGGTCAGGGCAGGTTATTCAGTCCTTTAAAACAGGTAATCTGCTTCTAGCTGAACTTCTGTTATTGTGTTTTAGTGTACTCGCTGGTGAGTAGCTGTCACTTGCTGCACAATGGTCTCTCCACTCAGCACAGCAGCCAGGGGAACAAAGCTTAAACTTGGTTTTGCTTAAATGTGCTTTAGAAGGTTGCCTGTTGTGTTTTTTCATCCACTTCAGTGAACTTACATTCGATAGAGCTGCTGCTAAATTAGATCTTCAGAATAATTTACTAATGTTTTTGTCTTTTTCTCTCAGAAAGAGATTGGAGCAGCTGTATACAAAAGATACAGACATGCACTAAGGAAAGCATCCTTTTAAGCCAAAATGGTACACTATTTCTATCTATTCTCCTATTTAACTACACAAAGGAGAAACCTAGTCCCTTCTTTCCTCCTCTCTCCCCTCCCTTACCTATTCAAACTATCGAGACCATCAGAAGCCTTAACAAGCAACTGTGGCTGAGTGCAGCCCAGAGCAGTGTCTTGTGGAATCAGCACACTGCAACTTCTATGGTGACTAATAGTTTTCATATTGTCTTCCCCAACCCTGCCTTCAGTCCACTGCTCTGCACTAATTTCATGCCTTGTGCAGCCAGTGCTCTTTGCTTTGATGCAAGATTGCTGTTATTGATGGCTCAAGCAGAGCCAGATTGATACTGTTTTATTTGCAAGGATAAATAAAGCAGGATTAGAACCTTCTACCCCCCTCCACTTTGATTTGTCCTAAATGTTAGTCTCTCACCACAGCTTTAAGCTTTACTGAAGTGTTCAGTGTTGTGAATGCTGGTATCATGTGGCACTTAACGTAGAAATGATGGGAACTTGAGTATCATGTTTCAGATCTGTTCTTCTGCTTTTGAATATTTATTTATGGAGATGGAGAGAGGCATCTATATGGGTCTATAAATATATTTTACTTTAGTAAATCTGATGAGATTAAATCAGATTAAAAAAGATAAACTATCCATTTGATGTACCCTTTAAATAATACACCCACATAGATGCGCACAAAAGACCTCTGTCTAGGACAGTGGAATTGTTGGAGAGGTTTATTGAGATGAATGGTATAAATAAAATGTGTGTAAGGGGGTTTCTGGGAAAGGAGTATTTGCAATGGAGGTGCAATTTAATTAGGAGTCAAGGTGCTTTTTGCCTACTACCTGGAGAGGCTTGTTAGATAAATAGGCATTTGTTGTAATGACTGAAGAGTCATTACACATTACTCAGTCTGAAACCCTCTTCTCATAGCTGATACCATCCTTTCAGCCTTGTTGATTGCAGCAAGACAAGGCTGGCCTGATAGGGAAGGCAGTTCAGGAGACTGCCAAGAAGCAGTTTTTATTGGCCTTTTGTGGTACACTGTTTTCCAAACTCTGTGTGCCTTCAAGTCCTGGTGTATTAATGCTGCTGGTCAGGATGAGGAGCAAGCTGGAACAGATCTTTAGGAAATGTCAGAATTTGGGGGGAGGGAGGAAGAGGTAAGGAGAAAGGGGACTTGCCCTTTCAGCATTGGAGTTGAAGACTATAACAACTATAAATTAGACTGAAAGGGGAGGGTGGAAGGGTGGTGTCCAAAGGGAAGAGTATGTCTAGTCGGCCTTGCAGATTTCAGGGTATGCATAGCTCTGTCACAGAGCTGTTGCTTTGCTTACTCCATCTGCAGATTATAATTAACATTTCTGGGTTGTCTTGCAGCTAGCACAGTCCAGCTGCTCAGCAGTGGCCTTTCACGCTAAATAAGCCTGGGATGTTTTGTCCGTGCCTCTCATAATTCACTTGTGGAAAAAGGCATTTTGGGAATGGTCATCACAATGTGTGATGAGGGGCTACAGCAAGGTGATGGAATAAAGGAGGTTTAGGCGGGGCAGCAGGGAAAGCTGCCTGGCACGGTGATCAGAGGGGCTGGATGGGCTGCATTGCTTCAGGCGCTGGGAACTGGTGGGGGGGAAGCTCTCACAATTACAGAGTAATCTTGCCCTAGCTTCTGAGGTGGGGAATAAATGACCTAGTAAAGCTCTCTCTTTAAAGAGACACCATCACACTGAATCACCCCTGAAGTGCCGTTACAGGCAGCCAAAAGATCTAGTGAAAGAATGTTTTCTTGCCTCTGCGATGGAGGAGTGTCATGGTAAAACATAACCTGGGTTTAGGCCGTAAACATCTGCACTTTCTCACTTCGTGTACGTGTGACACGATTTGTTTCCTGCTCCTTTTACCTGGAAAGTAAACCTCTTTTCCTAGAGTTTTCAATGCAGGATGCCTCGCACCCTCCTCTTGCAACCTATGTGCATGCCTGTCTTGCTGCCTGTTTCTGGGGGCACAGACACACTCAGTTAACCTTGAGCTGGTGACCTGGATCAGTCCCTCCCCCCTGCTGCTGCCTCTAGCTGTTTTGCCAGTTGGAGCAGGAGTCCAGACACGGAGCTCTTCAGCTCTCTTGTGTTATCCCAGTGTACCACCTGTGCCTTCAGAAATGGGTGAGCAGATTGCTGGCTAAGCTCGTGGTGGAGCCGGTTCCTGTGAGCCACTTCTTGGCTGATTCCATTTGAAAAATGTGATGCATAAGCACAGTGGTCTTCCAAACTATATATATACACATGCGTGTGTGTGTGTGTATATCCTTTGTGCGCAGCCATTTCCTCTTGTTGTCCAGCCCTTAAATCTGTGGTAGCTTAGGCTGCAGCCTTTTGGTTACAGGAATGAGTTTTGTTAACTGGAGGGCTAGAGAAAGTCTCACCAAAAGGTTGGGTCAGTTCAAGATTTGAATAGCCCTTCAGCAGTTCTTTAAGGTCAAGGCATTAATCTGTGCAGTCCTGTGCTTCAGAATGCTTCGCTGTTCTCCAACTGTAGTGTATCAGATTCACCCTCCCGTGACACTCAAGCCTCTGTTTTTAGGTCAGGTCAGTAGCTTCACACACCAGATAAGCCCTCAATTGGCTTTAATATGCAGTTCTAGAAAACTGACATTATCCTCTTGACAGGTTGTTTGCAACTTGTTGGTAGAAGTCAAAATATTTCACTATAGGTGTCATCAGAAACCACCATCCTATGCTAATTTTTGTGGGAACATGAAGACAGATGTTGAATAATTTGACATGAGCAGCATAGCTTTTAAAATTATCACCGTGTCAGGCGTGAACTTTTTTTTGAAATATATATATGTACTTCAGATGAGTTTGAGAGAAGGAAGGGAGATATAGCAAGTTGCTCCCAATAAGTGGAAGATGCAGCTGAGATCGCCTTGGAGGTTCAGTAGTCAGACAGCAATTCAGCAGTGGCAGTAAGCGATGCTATGCTGCTGTTCTTATTTTCAAGTAACAAGACAAAGTGACTTCCATGCTGGTAACTCGGAGATCTTGTGACACTTCACATCAACCAGAAGCCCCACTGTTTTGC